CGCCCCCGCTGCCTCCTGGGTGGCCTCCTGTTGCGCGGCTGGGGGTGGAGGGTGGGAGGTGGCGGGGAGCCTTTGGCCACCTCTTCAGCTCTGAGAGGCACCCCTTTTGCTGCTGGCGGGACCCCGACCCCCTCTGCCTCCAGCTGGGGGTCCAGGCCACAATTCCGGGGCCAGGAAAGGGCCCGCCCCATGCAGGACACAGCAAGACACCCAAGTCTCGTGGGGAGGCAAACGACTCAGCGCTCGCCGGCCTCTGGGCACAGTACCACCACCAACCACTGGGCTACCTTCCCAGTGTCTTCCTGTGCGAGCACCTTCCTGACACCCCCGCTTTGCAGTCTTGCAACGAGGAGGAGCGGGTTCTCACACGTCCTGTTTCTCACCGGCCAGGAGTCCGAGGCTGACGAAGCTCAAACTCCTGCCCGCGGTCACACCGGTAGGAAGCAGCAGCATCTGGTCTCCCCAGCTCCAAGCCCAGTGTTCACGACCACTCGCCTTTCCGACCTTCTGTCAGGGGTCATACACGGTGCACGGACGATGGGGTGGGGGCCGATTCTGCCTGTGGAGTATCAGGGAAGGCTTCATGGAAGAGGCGGCCCTTGATTTTGTTATAAAGGCCAAGCAGGGTTTCCCACGGGGACGAGGTGGGAAGGCACTGCAGCTAGAGGGAACAGCGTGTGCAAAGGCCCTGAGGCCTGCAGGGTGCCCCGTGAGGTTGGGGTTCAGGGCCTGTGTCAGATGCATGTTGGGAGGTGAGGCTGACGGAAGGCCCAAGAAAGAGGATTGGGCTCCACTCCTGAATCCCCGGGCGATGACATATGAAAATATCCCACTCCCTACATGCCTGTTATCGCCTCCCTCCTGTGGTGGGAGCTCCGTGAACCCGCACGTGACCCTGTGTTCATCCCTCTGTCCCTAACGCGCGTCATGCAGTGGGCGCTTAATACCTGTTTGGGGGATGGATGAACGAACGAATGAATGAATGAAGAACGGGCACCTGGCTGGGAGGTGTGGCCCCACAGCTGTCCCTCACTGCCGTGGTCCTGAGTCTTCCAGCACCTGCTGGGCCACCGCTAAGCTCAGTGGGTGGTCTCACCTTTGCACAGCGAAGGCCGAAGGCCCGGGTCCTGCAAGGGGGGGGCGGGGTGTGTTGTCCTCAGCATCCTAGGTACCACGACTTGAAATTCCACCCTGAAGCCACCAGGTGTCGCTCACGCCACACAAGAAAACCCATCGAGGGACTGTTGGGGTGAGAGGGGGGCAGTGTCGGCAAATCTCATCTGTGAGCCACAAATGGGGTTCCAGGCTGCCGTTTGTTCTCATCAGCGCCGGGCTTGCTCCTCCAGAACCAGGCAGGTGTGACCACCTCGGGCTCCCCCTCCCCAGCCACGGGCAGCATGGGAAGGTGGCGACAGGCGGGGACCCAGGCCCGGGAGGCCTGTGGCCATGGTGCCACCCAGCCAGCAGCCCTGCCCACCAGCCTGGGCCTTGGCCCTCAGGAAAGCTGGGTCTGCAAGGCCAGG